GGGGGGGGGGGGGGGGGGGGGGGTATGTGCGCACGCTCCGACGGGGTTTACTACTTTTGGCTGAATGCGAGAGGGTAAAGTGATTCTAACGGGCTGGACATGGCTAGTGGCTATCTACTTACGATGTTATGGATGAATTTTTGGGGAGGGGGGAGTCTTTGAAGATGAGCCGGTGATTTGCTCGGCTCGAGGTCTATTTTGGGGGAAGTCATTTTGGTGAGGGGGTTTTTGATTCGGTGGAGGTGTTTTCATGTTTTTGTGAAGATGTTGATGACGTTGAGACAATTTTTTTTTTCATTTTTTCATTTTTATTTCATGCGGATCCAATAGCACACGGGCAATTACGGGGTCAAATTAAATAAAAGTAAAGGATAATGATGAAATTAGTAAACTGAACAGGTCAAAATAATACTCACGACGGAAAGGATTATTTCAGTAGCGAAGCGGTAAAACGGTTCAAGTCGACTCATCTCCCAGTTGAGTTTTTGAGGAATACGGCCGAATCTAAGGGAGATAGCGAAATTTTCGTCATCATATTTTTTGTAGCCCTCAATCGGCTCTACAGAAAAGGTTATGATAAAAATTTTGCGACCTCCCTTAGATTCCGAGATATTGATTGAAAACTGGTCAATAGTCAAAACTGACTTGTACCGTTTTACCACTTCGCTATTGATTTATATTGTTTATATTATAAAGTTACTAGGCTACCTAATTTATCTAAATGCATTAATAATACACACTCAATTTTTTTCGTTTTGTTCTTCTGTTTTGTCATTCATTTATTCATTTGCTCATTATGTTATTTGTTATTATTTTCGTGTATATCCATTACCTGACCACTTTTTATTTCATATTTTTATGCAGCTGTTTTTTTTATTATAAACATTTAACCCTTACGGGTTATTCTACAGTTAAAATACAGTTATTTTGTGGAAATTTCACAGATGATAATTCCTTAGAGACAGTCAGTTATACATAGAATTAGATTTAGAGAAGTTACATAGGTTGATTTTGCTTGTGCATTCAACTCTGTGCATTTATAGTTTAAGTGATTAAGGCCCGGTTGCACCAAGCCCTGTTATCCAAATAAACCCCAGGGTAAAATTTATCCTCGCGGTCAATTATATCGTAGGGGTTATAATTTTTCAATATTTGATCCAAAGAATAATTTTTTATTTATCCTGTGGCCGCATTTGAATTAACACTGATTTAACTTTGAGATTAAATTTTATTTTTTGTTCCTGGGATAAATTTAAGATACTGTCCAGGGTAAAATAATCCATCGAACATCCAAATTTACTTTTTTTCTTATCTGACGTTTTCGTTACCCGGAGCTGGTGCAACCGGGCCTAATAGAAATTAGAGCTAAGACTTTTCGATTAGAATTGAAATTAATTGGTAGAAATGTTCAACAATCATTTCTAAAATTTCTGAACCTAATTTCATTTAATGTGTTTTTTTCCTTCAATATCTTAAACGCAGAAAAATAGTTTATTTGAATTAAATAAACTTGATTAGATTCAAATAAATCATTTATTAGATTCAAATAAATCATTTATTTGAATCTAATAGAGTAAATACGAGAATTTTCCTTTTAATTTCCGATGAAATTCCCCTTTCTCTTCAAATTCTCGAACGAAAAAAAATTTTTTTAATGAGAAACAACGTTTTTAATATGAAAATATATTTTTTCCCATCAGCAACATATGTTGCAATTCCATAAATCAACGGATGTGATGGTAATTACGTGTGCAAATGTGACAAATTCAGTGACAATTGCCTTGCATATTAGATTCCATTTGTCCATGATTTCCGATTGAATTCAGTTACAGCAATAAAAGCGTGTCGGGAGGGGGTAGAGAATGTTTTTCATCCCTCTTGTTGATCTTTCACTTATTACATTTTATATCCTCAAAAGAGAGACTGCAATTCCGTTGTGTGGAAGTTTCAGGGGTACAGAGCAGAGAGGAGATGAACAATAATGAGACCTTGGGGTAATTGAGACCTAATTTTCCGCAACATCAAACTTTATTAACGACGAGTTGGCAGGTAAAGAATACATCCCCCCGGCCAGGAATGAGGGGTAACAGTGTGTGCTTCATACGAACGTTACTCGTGAATTGAATGAGAGAAGCGGTAACACCGGGCTCCCCCTGAAAGTCACGTCGATGCAACTTTTGATGCGAGAACCATTATTACTTAATGGATTAGGTATGCAGTTAGTCAGCCGTGGATAATTCACGTCGTGGCAGTCGCTCAAACCCAAATCTCCCCCCGGTTATACGTGTTAATTTGGATTTTTTTAGGTGATATGCATGGGGACAGGGAACTTTCCCAGGTTTTGGACGGTACAATTGATATTTTCGGATTTTAGGTTATTTGTCAGTATTTTTTGCATCAGTGCACGGGATTTCTCTGCGCATGCAAATCCGTGCGGAATTAATAGTCTTATTGATTCATTCGACAAAATATTTTGTTTTCCATTCGGAATAAAATAATTATAAAAGACGAACCATCTGGCCGTAGATTTCCCTCAGATTTCTTGGGAAAAAATTTTTAATGAGACGATTCTCTCAATCTTTTCCCAATGATATAGTTTTTCAGAGACTGCATTGAAAACTGTTTTCTTATATTTTTTTCCAATTACAACAGAAAATGGTATTTAGTTAAAAATGACGAGGGCTATGGAAATTATAAATTCGATATCTTGAAATATTTGAGTTATCCAAATCGATGATTTTCTTTCACGCAAAATTGCAGGATTTTAATGCAGAAATGTTATTTTCAAGCCACAATATATAATTTTATTTTTATAGCAATCATAAAAAAGACAAAACATTCTTTAATAACACAATTAATAATTAATACAACTATTCAAAGCTTCAAATCCCAAACGACTCGTTTCAATTTATTAAATTATTCCAATATTTTCGGGATATTCGCGTAATTTCAACTCATTACATAATTCAGGACCGAATAATTCTAAGAGACAAACCCTCTTGCCTTCATTTTCGCTCAATTTCCTGAGAAAAAAATTTTTCAATGAGAAATTTTTTTACGTATTTTAAAAATTTTAGATAACACCTCTGCATCTCCTTAATGACCCCCCTTACGACCCTCTGAATCTCCCCCACCCCTATTTTTCAAATGCACTGAAAACAGTTCAAAATTCATTTATCACACGTTTTGCGTCAATTTTTTCAAAAATTAGAGGAGAAAAAAAAATAGACATTAATCTTTTGCAGCGAAGCCCATAGATTGTCGCTGTTTAATCGTCCCATTTGCACGGCTATTGACTCCGCACGGCAATTTGTAGAGGGCCCCGACGACAGTTCGGGAATCGGCTTCAATTCCACTGAGGGTATTCCCGAAAACGAGGGAGGTTGTGTGCGAGCGCTACTGCTGGAGAGGATATCGTACCGGCGCCCCGTGCCACCATCATGTATAGCCCCAGCATTGAGTCGAGTCAATGGGACTCATATAACGCTTCAATGCGCACAGTGAGTCGTGATAGGACCCTGGAGAGGGGAAAAAAAGGAGAGCAGAGAAAAGGTGGGAAGGAAGGGAAAAAGAGCAGCATCGAGGTCGCCGCAGCTGTCACTTACCTCAAACGTCAGATGTGTACAGCCAGTGCCCTCCAATTTTACGGTAGTTGAGCTCAATTCTCACCTTCTCAAATGTCAAACAAGAAATTTTTCGACAGTTTTCTGAGCAGTCTCATTGTGCACTTGAAAATTTTTCGGAAATTAAATGGAGGAATTCATGAAGCTGTTGCGTGCACCCACATAAATTATTTATTTAAATCGAATAAATGAATTATTCAAATAGTATGAAATAAAAATTTTGCATGTATTAAATTAATGTTTTCATCACGCTGTGACGCCACATTGTGATGAAATAGTATATTTCGTAACGAGTGCAAAAAACATTTTTTCACGAGTTACG